CCCTTCCCCATTAACCACCACCAACACCCAGCCCTTCCCCATTAACCACCAACAACACTCACCCCCTTCCCCATTAACCACCAACAATACCCAGCCCTTCCCCATTAACCACCAACAACACTCACCCCTTCCCCATTAACCACCAACAACACTCAGCCCTTCCCCATTAACCACCACCAACACTCACCCCTTCCCCATTAACCACCAACACCCAGCCCTTCCCCATTAACCACCAATACACTCCACCGCCCGCAGCGCCGGGGCCCGTCCGGGCGCGCGCCCGCCCCCGCGACGCGCCCCCGCCGCCTCCCCAACCCTCACCCCTTCCATTAACCACCAATACCACTCCACCCCTTCCCACCTACCCCACCCCACACTCCCCTTCCCCATCTAACCCACAACACTCACCCTTCCCCTTACAACACGCAACACCGCCTTCTGCATTACCCACCCCAACGACCGCGCGCAGCCCTTCCAGGGACATAACACACACCCACACAGGGGGGCCTCTCTTCCTGCATTAACCACCACCGACACCAGCCCTTCCCCGTTAACCCGCTGAACTTACCTCGGCCTCTTCGCGCTCGTCTTCCCGTCTCCACTCTCGCGCCCCGTGCGTCCGCGCGAGCGCGCTCCTCTCGCCGCTCGCTTTCGCCGCGGCCGCGCGGCACGGCGTCGGATCACCTGCTCCGCCCCTGCTCGGAGCTGCAGCTGTGAGATTCCCCACCCTCGTCCCCCGGGGTGCTCCCTGTCCCTCGCCATGTCTCGCGCGCCACGCGCGCTCCTCTGCACCGCCCAGGGTCAGGCTCTGGCGCGTTCCGCCGCTGATGTTTCGACCAGACCCGTGCTCCCGCCTCCCTGCGGGACACCGGGCACAGTTGCTCGACCTCGTCCCAGGAGAAGGCTCATAACTGGGGCCAGGGTCCTCGCTCGTCAGGGAGGCCCTGCTGCTTCCCCACCCTCGCCCTCAGCAGCATGCTCCTTCCAGATCTTCCGCCCTGCGCCTCACTCCACGCTCCCTCCACGGTCGTGGAGTGGCCTCCAGACCCGGACGGCCAGCGCCGGTGCGAGCGGCCTCTGGCTGCTCACACACTGTGCCGTCAGGACTACGTGGGGGGAGGTCAAGGCACAGGCAGGCAGGGAGCCCTGGGTCTTGAGTTCTGAATGCTGCGTGGCAGAGGCTAGGATGTGATCCTGGGCAGCGGGGTGAGGACCGCCTCCCTGCATGAAATCTCTTCCCCGTCTGCACGAAGCCGAGAGAGAGCGCTTTGCAGGCAGGCGGGCGTCGCGGAGGCAGCGGAGTATTCCTAACCGACGGTCATCTCAGATAGCAGACTTCACAACTTAGTATCACATCGTAAAAGTCTATCTCGCTGCTACTGTCCACCAACGCCAGTTCTGCCAATGCTTTTAAAGAAGTCACTGCGAGAAGTGTCAAAGATGCTATCAGCCCAAAGAGTTCTCTTCTTCATGGCACATCCCAGCGGGCTTGAAAGCGAAAACTGAAGGGCAGGCACGTGTGGCTCATCGCCATGTAATCCTAGCACCGTCGGGAGCGCGCAGGAGGGAGGACCGCTTGATGATCAGAGAGTTCAACAGCCGGCCAGGCTTGAGCCAACGAGCAAGACCCCGCCCATCTCTCCCGAAAAATAGAAAAATTAGCTAAGTGCATGGTGGTGACTTCCTATAGTCCCAGCTTATTTGGGAGCCGATGCAGGAGGATGCTTGAGCCCAGGCGTTTGGAGCGTTGGGGTGACAGAAGTGAAAGCTGGGTGCACAAGTGTGGATCCTACGGTCCTCAGAGAAAGTACAGGAAGAGCACTTGAAAAGCTTGGGAAACAACTCTCATCTGCATCATCATCCTGACAATGCGGACTCCGGGTGGGAATTATGGGATTCGGACATCGCTGGAATTTGCGGGTGAAAGAGGCAGGAAGAACAGGAACATTCACGATAGTCAACAGTATCTCCCCACACTACATATTCCTTACAAGAGTGAAAATAGTAAGCTTCCGAGACGGAAGAAACTGCAGAGCCGACCGCCACCGACCACGGTGATCCAGTTAACTCCTCTCCCCACCTGCAAGGGACACAGAGACAGCACGTGCCCGCTGCGGGCACATGTCGCTTGTGTGACATTCTCCCCAATCCAGGCCCACAGCCAAGCAACTAGAACATCGAGCAAAGCCCAGGCAGGAAGGAAGTTTGTCAAACAGCGCCGTGTAACTGCCCAGACAACGACATGCAGGACAAAGGGTGGGCGGCTCTGAGCAACGTGGTCCAGGCTTGAAGGAGACTAACAGAGGGAGCGACACTCAAATGTGGGGTGTGACGCCTGCGATGTCGATCCAAGACTGGGAAAACAAATGCCATACACATTATTGGGACAATTGGTACAACTGGAGTATAAACTGCGGTTTAGGGATCCTAGTAGTGTATCACTGTTAAATGTCCCGAGTTTTACCATTTTACTGGGTTACGGAAGAGAATGTCCTTGTTTTTAGGAAATTCACTAAAATATTACGGGGTAAAGGGGCATGATTACACAACTTACTTTTAAATGGTTCAGAAACAGACAGAAGAGAGCAGAAGAAGAGAGGGGAGGGGGGAGAAGGAGGGAGGGAAAAAATGAGCCAATGTGAAAAACATTAACAAAGGGTGAATTTGGGCAAATGGTATGTTTAAGTTCTTAGCCTTCTTGCAGCTTTTTTATTAGCTTGCAATTATTTCAAGAGAAAACAA